CTATTTTTTGTCATGAAACTACAGAAGAAAAATATTTTAATAAAAAGTTTCCTTCATGCCCTTAGGATATTTAAGTAATAAAACTGCATGTTTCAAGATGTGAATTATATAAGTCATTTACACTCTTCTAAAATGCATAGATGTGTGGAACAATGAGCTAAACTGCAAAGTAAAAGCTCACCAGAAGTAATAAGATACACGAATTTATTGAATAGTTAAGACATAAAAATAAGGCAAACAAAGATGTCTCAGTCCAATGTGCAGGTGTACATCCTGGGGCTTTACACTTCACAAGGGAACTTCTTTCTAGAGACTCCATGGTGGCCAGGATGAGAGTTGTCGACCTCAACTGGTGGCAGTTGTGGGGCTGGTGGTGGTGGTGACAACACCAAAGCAACTGTACAATTATTCATACACTTTAGAAAGAAAACATGATGGGCCGGGGAGATGGCTCAGTAGAATAAGCATTTCCCTGGCAAGTGCAAGGGCCTGAGTTCAATCCCTGGTTCCACCAAAAAAAAGAAAAAGAAAACATGAAAGGGCTGCCAGGAGACCTAAATTAGCAGCCTCCTCCATCAGTGTTCTCTGTAGGTCTGCTAAAGCCACCATGTCCTTGGACTGTCACCTGGCCTCATTATTCACCCACAGGAGCCTCTTTCCCAGGTGACTTGTAGGTGAGATCTGATGATAATAATGATGATGAGGAGGAGGAGGGATGGCAATGATGATGATGACAATGATGGTGTGTGTGTGTGTGTGTGTGTGTGTGTGTGTGTTTGTGTGATTCCACGGTGCTTTCTGAGAGGTAGAAGAGCTCACAGTTTTCCTACTAGATGCTGATGCAGGGCTTTGACTTTCGGAGCACACCTGTGTGAGCTGTGAATAGCTGCCCTTCTGTTCTCGTGTGCGCTGGCCTTATTTTTCTCTTCTTTATATTCATGGTCTCTCTAAGAGCAATTCTTCTGGAATTGGTTAGAAAACAATCTTTAAGCAGCTGTCATGACTAGCCTCCCATCTTGCAGGACTATTTTGGAGTTTTGCTACTTATTGGAAGGACAAGGGTCACTGGTTCCTGCAATCTGCTATCTGAATTTGTTCCTGGTATGACAGTTTTGAAATCCTCTGACAGACCAGAGAGGACAGCTTATGCTCAGAGTTAGTAACAGTCCTGCCTTACACGAGAACCAGAGTGAACTGTGTTCTCCTCAACCATGGTCCTCTTTACAGAGGACAGGAGACCACGCCAGGAAGCCCGCTCAGATGTACCTCCCACAACTCTCAGGACTGGAGCCCCTCCCCCAAGAGCACTCCACTCACAACCACCCAGAGCTTGGTGGCTTCCTTCTTCACTGAGCACTTTCCTTTCCACACAGGAGTGGGACCATAGCCCGGTGACCAGAGCTGGTCCCAGCAGGCACCTGTGTATGCACGAAGCAGGAGGAGGTGTCTGAGTGCAGAGTGGAGAAGAGCAGGAGGCCCACATCACTGAACTGTCTCCCTCTGATCGACACACAGATGGGTTAGATGAGAATAGCCCACGGGCCCAGAAACATGAGCCTTTGCCCATCCTGCTGAGCACAGACTTGGCACAATGACCTAATTAAGTAAATGTGGGTCCAACAACGACAGAGAAAGCAATGAGAGAAGCTGTCCTCAGTGAAAGTGAGCACACTGCATCTCCTACCATGTCAGTGGGCGCCTGTGCCTCTCAGGACTCAGAAGGCTGCGAGCACTCTAGCCAGTAGCACCAATGCAAGGCCCTTTCACAGCACCTCTTTGTGCAGTTCACTGTGACTTTGCTTTGACAGTAAGAAGCCAGAAAAATAGGTTGGGCAAGGGCCATTTTTTCTGTTTGCAGAATGCAAGAAATCTTGGGTTGGTAGAATAAAAACAAAAGTTTTCTTCCTTCAATAAACTGCTTTCAAAAAAAAAATAAATAAACTGCTTTCACTCTGGAAAAGAAAAAGTTATTCTGTGAAGGCAAAGTTATGGAGCCAGAGAAGAATGACTACGGACACCCAGCGTGACACAGTGCCAGGCTCTGCAGCTTCAGTCACTGTGAGCAACTTCCAGCAATTTCGATCATCTATGAGAAGCATAGAATTCAAGTGAATTAACATTAAATAACAAGGAAGCTACTCAAATTGAGAGTAAAATTGCATTAAGAACAAGAGAAAAGGGCCGGGGAGATGGCTCAGTGGAATAAGCGCTTCCCTGGCAAGCACAAGGGCCTGAGTTCAATCCCCAGTTCAGCCAAAAAAAAAAAAAAAAAAACAAAAACAGGAGGAAGGAAGAGACATAATCTTCAAATACTTGGCTATAAAATAACAATCCAGGAGTCTGGCATCCTATACCACAAGCCCTATCCCTGGGAGATTTGTGAATATACAAATTGTTTATATCTGTTACTGATTTCATGGGTCAAAGGTTATGTTCTAGGTTATAAATGTGAGTCACCCCTGGAACAAGGAGAGAATTCAGGTAGGATGGGTTGAGAATAAGAAAAAAATGAGGTGGCGATGAGAAGAAAAGAAATGAGGTATCAAGCAAGGAAAGGACAAGAGCACCGTACACAAAAACAGTGTTCTGCAACTCCTTCTATTGAATTTTAGTTGAACTGTGTAAAATTTACACTTTTATGGGCTCTGTGTGGTTTAACATTAGCATTTCATATGGTTAAATGCCATATAAGGTGCATATACTTATAAAACATGAGCGGATATGCATGATGCATTTAAAAATTAAAAATTAAGTGTGTATCTTTTAAAAGTACTGGGAAATTAGGTACCATTTTCATAAAAGATGTATGAATTTCTTTGTGTTATCTTTGAAGATAAATACTATGAACCAAAGCTTCTGTTGCAAGGAAAGTAAGAGCAGGGAAGAGTAGATTATAGCAAATAAAACTTTTATATTGAAAACGTAAGTTTTGTTGCCATAAATGCAGACGCAGAGAAGTTATGACCAAGATTGCCTCGACGTTGTGCTACATAAAATATTCATCTGTTCATCAATTCATCCTCTCCCGAACCCATTTCAACCATACCATCATCCCTTTGCCAGATGCACAGTGTTCACAACGACTGTCCCATCCCCCCACTAACCGAGTCCTACTTTGCTATGCCATTGTTCACGGAGGGCCCCGGGGCCGGTAGCCCCAGTGAGCACCTCAAGAGTCATCAGAAGAACATCTGGAAAGCAACTCGAATCAAAAAGGAAAATCTCCTCTCCTGTTGACAGCTGGTTTTGGTGGCGTTAGGGTTGCAGTCTCAGTTTCCTAGGAAACCAGCTCCAAACCACCCTGACTCACAGGTTCTCCGCCCACCCCACCCCCATCACGAGCTTGCAGCAACTGAAGGGGTAAAATTCAATTTATAACGGTTACTTCTGGGAAGAAACATTCTGTCAGCCACAAGAACGTCACTGACATAATGGAGGAACTGGTTGAACTCCCCGTGCTGGCTGTTGTCAGCAACAATTCCTTAATAGCATCTTACAAACAGTGGTTAATGCTTGCATGAAAATAATTCACACAAGGGTCCTAGGCATTGTTTTGTATTTCACCTGCATAAAGTATGTGTGTGTTTATGCAAAGCTACCATGTTATTATGATTTGTGTTCTCTGAATTTAAATTCATATTTCAGAAACATTTCGTAAGATTGTTGTTTGTAAACACTTAAAAAGAGATGTAAGAATGAGCCCTTTGAAAATAATAAATGTTTATTTATTATTTTCATGTTTGTTCCTTTCCTGTTTTGTGGAGAGGTAGAGTGGTGAGGTGGTTTAATATATGAGCTCTCAAGTGGAACAGACTTAGTTACGGTTTCCAGCTTGACCAAAATATACGAGCTTCAGCAAGTTGAGTCACCTCACTGCTTTTCAATTTCTCATAAAATGGGAACATTAATACAATCCACCTTGCAGGGCTCTCGTGAAGACGCAAAGAGCATATGTATGAAATTTCTTAGTGTACTTTCTAGCATATGAACTGGTTTCTATAGCAGCATATGGTCATGCACTTGGGTGTACGTGGGTGGCTCTGAGATGTCCCGCAGTCTCTGAAGGCTAAGAGACACCCAAACTGGAAATACCCGTCATGGAAGGAGAGGTTGTTGGAAGGAAGACTCAAGGTCTTGAACCTGCTATCAGCTCTTTCATCAGATTCTCTGGACTTAAAAACTATAGATTCATGCCTGCTCTTGCTACCACCCAGCCAGCAGATGCTGTTCAACATGGGCCATCTACGAAGAAACGCTATTTTATACCAGGGAAAGAAACCCAAGCTCCACCATGTAATTGTCTTCTAAAGAGGGTGGACTTGTGTGTCAGCACAGACAGTAAGTATCTTATTGGCTCCAAGTTGTGTAGCAACGCCTTAGCAAGGTGGTTATATAGTTCTCATTGTAATGTAAGGTTTTCAAAAGTTCAATCCAGAAACATGAAAACAAAGACACTAAAAGTTTAATTGGGTTGTATTTCAGATAGCATCATGAAATTCTCATCTTAATCCGAAGTAAATATATATAAAACACAAACCACATCTAATGGATTGAAAGCCATCTGATTGTACTTCCTTCTTGATCAATGAGGACCGTATAAATTTTTCTTTCACCATTTTTATTTTTAAAGAGATTGAGCTATGGAAACATTCCAGCAAAAAATGTAATTTATATTTATTGAGAGAGAGAAGACTTGATAAAATATTGATATTAAAATAATAAGAGAAATATTTTATTAAGTCTCAGGAATACAAATAAATAATACAAAAATAACCTGGCAGTGCCTGGGAGGAAATATTGTAGAGAGATTGCTGACATGTTTATGAGGCATATATTTTATCAACTGTCTTCATTTGCCGCACTTTTCTTGCCATGCACGCCGAAGTTAAATTAATTAACCCTTACAATCACCCAGTAGTGTAGGTACGGTTGTGTTTTACAAACTTCTCAAAGCAGTATCTTTTAGCTGAGTGTGGTGGTGCACACTGGTAACTGCAACACTCAAGAGGCTGAGGCAACATGAGCGCTGTGAGTTCAAAGTCATCCTGGGCTACAAGGTGAGTCCAAGGCCAGCCTGAGCCTCCTCGTGAAACCTTGTCTCCAAAACAGAAAATAAAAAGCAATTGTCTTTTGGTTTCTTTATTTTATTGAGGTGGTCAAGCAAGAGAAGAATATATAGAGCTAAGTCATCATTTTTTTTTTTTTTTGCAGAACCAGGGATTGAACTCAGGCCCTTGTGCTTGCCAGGAAAGCACTTATTCTATTGAGCTATCTCCCCAGCCCCCTAAGTCATGATTTTAAGAAATTAAAATGCAAAAG